AAAGAGAAATTCATGGACATTTTCGTACTGTACTATATACCCGCTGATATTATTTGTCTTATTAATTCCAAATGAATTATCTGGTCATTCAGTTTTCAGAAGTCGATTGGTCTTAAAAGTTCTGTTATTTTTTTTAATACAAAAACAAAAATCACCATCACAACTGCCACCACAAGACCTATAATCATTATCATCATCGTCGTCATCATCATCATCATCGTCATTATCCTCATTATCCTCATAATTATCATTATTAACAACGCCATCACCTTCACTTGTTATTTTGATTTCTTTACAGACACAAAAAGACAAGTTTTGAAACAGTATGTGGTTGTACCAGATAAGCCCAATGATTTATTTATGTTTGTATTATGCTTATTTTCTTTCTCTCTCTCTCTCTCTCTCCTCTCTCTCTCTCTCTCTCTCCCATCCCAAATCTGGTGTTCATTATTTGCATCAATGCATTAATGACCACGGTGACCATATCCCATGTTAACTTCTGTTCTGCAATGTGCAGCATGTCAACGTTGGACCCATGCAGCCCCCACCCCTATAGCTTTAGCGCATCCACGGGAATTTTTTCCTTGCTACTACAGAATCGATATCAATCTCTCTTGGTTGTGTGTTCGTCTGCAGTTCTTGTTGGCAATGGACAGCAGGGTTAGTTGATTTCCTATTCGCCAGCCATTGTAGCCTCCTCTTTCCCTGTCCTCATCAATACTGCTTTCTTCATCATTTGGTTGTGATTGATTCAAGTCTGTTGTCATATCATGGGAATAAACTTGGTGTGGTGCGTCAAGGTTGTTATAGTCATCCAAAATTATCCATTCGTTTTCGACGGGTTGGTCAATAATAGCACTCGATGATGGCGGCAACCTGCTATGTCTTCGAGTGGTCATCCTGGTTTGGTCTAATCTTTTGAACTGTTTTGATAGACGAACACATACAAATTTATTATTATAGTAAAAAGCAAAGACCTACAGATTTCGTGAAAGAAAAGTATCAAATTTGTTAAATTGAATCGTTTAATTAAAATGCCAAAGTTATGTTTAACTAGAAAAATTATTTTATAAAATTTCTTCCCGCCTGAACAGTCTCTACTTAAAAAACACGGTTATCTGCGAATAGTCATTTCTAATTTGTGAACTACAGTGTGATTGTTATTACATTTTTATAACTTTTTACATTCACAATCCCAAAACAGATTTAACGATTATTGTCTAAACCACAATTGTATAAAGATTCGTGCCTCGAACATATCAGGTTCAATTTACTTTCTAGTCAAAAGATTTCTTCAAGAAACGAAGTTTGAATAAGCAAGGGGACAGGCTAAAAAACAAACCTGGAAGTATCCAAAATCTGCCAGTTGTGTATCGTTGTCGTCACCTTCCAACTCCTCGTCGTCCTCCTTCTCCTCTTCCTTTCCTCCTCCTCGTCCTTCTCCTCCTCTTCCTCTTCCTTCTCCTCGTCCTTCTCCTCCTCTTCCTTCTTCTCCTCCCCGTCGTCCTTTTCCTCGTCCTCGTCCTTCTCCTCCTCTTCCTTCTCGTCCCCGTCCTTCTCCTCCTCCTCCGCGTCCTTCTCCTCCTCGTCGTCCTTTTCCTCGTCCTCGTCCTTCTCCTCCTCTTCCTTCTTCTCCTCCTCGTCGTCCTTCTCCTCGTCCTTCTCCTCTCTTCCTTCTCCTCGTCCTTCTCCTCCTCTTCCTCCTCCTCCCTCTTCCTTCTCCTCGTCCTTCTCCTCGTCTTTCTCCTCCTCGTCCTTCTCCTCCTCTTCCTTCTCCTCGTCCTCTCCTCCTCTTCCTCCTCCTCCTCCTCTTCCTTCTCCTCGTCCTTCTCCTCCTCGTCCTTCTCCTCGTCGTCATTCTCCTCCTCGTCCTTCTCCTCCTCGTCGTCCTTCTCCTCTTCTTCTTTCTCCTCGTCCTTCTCCTCGTCGTCCTTCTCCTCCTCTTCCTTCTTCTTCTCCTCCTCCTCCTCCTCCTCCTCCTCGTCCTTCTCCTCCTCGTCGTCCTTCTTCTCGTCCTCGTCCTTTTCCTCCTCATCCATCTCCTCCTCGTCCTTCCCCGTCAAAGACATCTCTCCATTAGTCTGGATGTCTTCAGACTCTTCATCGTAGAATTGATGGCTCTTCAGTGATGCAACCACTCTACTGGCATCCCTTTGGATGATGGACCGGTGAAACCTGTCACGGGCCAGTCTAAGCTGTGTCATCTGAAGTTCTGCAATATCCTGTGGAATAACATATTTGAAAGGTAACGATAACTTATTAGAGTTATCTTTGAAAAATAGCCATACGAGCACTTGATTAATTAAATTGTTCTTTTGTCAAACTTACGATTTCTTACGATTACTTACGATTTGTACAAGTCTGTGAGATATGAGAGATTTCAGGTCGGCTTTTCTTACTTAATCATCTTTTTAACCAGTATTATCTCCATTTCGCGTGGGAAATAAGCTCACTGTTTTGACGTCCCCCACCAAAAATATTCATATATAAAAATGGGAGAATTATTGAAGAGTGGGACGAGAGAGTTTAAAAAAAGTTGAAAAATAGAGTAAAAGAGAAAGAAAGGGAGCGCCAAAAAAAGGAGGAGGTAAGAAAGAAAAATACAGAGCAAAGACAAAGAGAGAGAGAGAGTGTAACAGAAAGCTAGGTAGAAAGAGGAGGGGGAAAGATGGATAGTGACACTAACAGAGATGAAGAAAATAATAAAGAACAAGAGATTCGAGAAGGGGATAAAGGTACATACCCTCAGAAGTTGCATTCGACTTGCCAGAGCATAATCATCAACTGATTTCTCCGTTGTGTTTTCGTCATCACAACTCTCTGTTCGTCCGTCCCCCAAATCTAACGCTGCAACGGCATCTCCTTGGGAAAAATATATTAAATCCTCTTACATTATCAAATTATAAAATAAGTGTAATGTTTGAAGTTATCGGTTTAGAAACCTTTATAACCCATGTATAACATGTTTTTTTGTTTAAAGATTAAAAGAGAAGCCCATGGGGATTCACGTTCTCGATTTGTTGACATTATTTTGTCCAACTAATACCAAATGAATAAATTGGTCAATCAGTTTTTAAAGGTTGATTGGTCTTAAAAGTAAACAAATATTTTGAAAAAAGGGGGTGGGGACGGGGACTTCGACTATACCATTTGCAAGTTTGTGCAAGATGAATATTACTATGGGAAATTATATTTGTTTTAAAAAAAATTGATAATAAAACTAAAGGTTGGGAAAAAAATAATTTGAATTGCCTTTTTGTTGTTGTTGCTGAGTTCTACTTTTTGAAGAAAGAACCATTTCCTTGTTAGTAGATATAAAAGTTGTATACGAATATTATTATATCAGGAGTGTCCCCTTTCTTTCTCCCCCGGCCCCTCACCCTTACTCTTTGATTATATTTCTCTCTCCAACCCAATCCTCCCCATTTGTACTGAACTATAATTCAATAAGCGTTTATATATCTACATCATGAGCTTCAAATTGTCAAATTGTATTTCCTACCGTTCCCAATCCTTTCGAAAGATTTACTCTCTTCGACGATGTCCAGCTTGAATCCAGTACTTTGTGATTCATCAATGTCGTCGAAGACGTAGCCGTCCTCTTTTTCATCCTGACGATGAATTGGTTTGCTGCGTATGCACCCCATATTTATTTAAAGCAAACAAAGCAAATTCGAATACTAAGTAAAGAACTCAATATACCGATGATATTCGCAAGTGATTGAATAAAACACTGGTCATACAGTAAGTAAACAAAGTAATCACCATACACACCACGCGAAACCTAGCGCATTCTGTATCTGACGTCATAATGCATGCGCATCCATGCTTATGACATTTTAGATGATAATGGTGTTGTAAAAGAATAGCGTTATATTTAAGCTTTTAGCCAATTTCTTACCCCTCGAAGATCAAGATGATTTTTATTATTAATGTACCATTTTATCATCAGTTTTGCAAATTATAATACATTATCACAATGGATGGAATAGTAAATTATCAAAATATCACACTGAGAGATGTTAGTAGAAAATTTTGGATTTGGTTAGGGCATCCTTTCAGAAAATGTTACAGGGGATATTCAAATAAGTCGATGTGGGAGGGGCTTCGTCACCCTGAGCAATGTTTGGTGTTTTGAAGTAGATAAGGCATTTCACGATGCATAGCAGTACTGTTCATAGAAAGCAATTCATATTTAATAATCTGCATAATATTATGTTCCTGCTGTGGATAATGAGAGACAGGGTACTCTTCTCACCAGTGAACAAGAAGACTTATAAATGAATTGTTGATTATTCAATACTATAACAATAGTTGTTTTTTCCCCTATATCCTCTTTTGAGGTTGGCCTATTTATGCCATTAAAAACATTACATATCAGCGATGCACAGAAGCCTAGAAGTAGGACATTGACCATGCAAGGGGAAGGGGGAACATAATATGACAATTTTCCCCCATATAATCATGCAACGCTTAATCCTGCCCATCATGCATTTTAATCTTTCTAAAATATGTTCTCTTTTTTATGCTAACATAACGTGCTATACAAAGGGGTGATATATTATTCAGATATCTTGCTTAGCCTATAAGCTCGTCTTGGTCGAGATACGATAAGACGCCCAGCAGCTACAATTCTCCATCATGTGATATATATGGGCTACACCGCGCCCCATAAAACAAAATCAGATCAATCCTTTGAGACGTCTTTTTTTAAAATTATTATTATTTTATTATCATTACTATTAAAAAATAAAAAATAAATATTTTATTTGTTTGTTTGTTTGTTTCATTTTTGTCATTCTTTTATTTTATTTTTCTATTTTTATTTTTTTGTGCTTGCTTGCTTTTCAAAGAATTCGGGAGTGAAAAGGCACCGGGAAAAAAAAAATCCTCAACCTGCCCCTGCTATATTTTCACCATTTTCTGCGCTCGAGCTCGCGATCGCGCAGTGCAAAATTGAATTGCGCGCCACCTTGTGACAAAAAATCGCAGAAGCCGACAGTTTATTGCCACCAGAAATTTCTAATCGACTGATCATATTTTCAATTAAACGATCCACTGGCCACTTACAATATTCTTCACGTTCTCTATTTTCCGGGATCATAATTGGAGGAAAATGGGGGCCATCTTGGCCAAGTTCCGGGTGAGTTCATGGCCGGTGATAATGTATTTAGGGGCATAAATGGGCAGATTGAATTTAAAGACTTTACTTTGGTCCCATACATTTAAATATATGTTAGTGGGTTTCTCTTAACAGTGCTTAACTTGTTGAAGTGAAGTGAAGTGAAGTAAAAAAATAACTTAAACATGTATTGTCAGTCAAGGTCATAATAGATGGTCCTGTGGTTTTGGATGGGGACGTGGGATTAATCATTGCGCAACAACACATTCCCTGTGACAGAGTCATTCATGATTTAATTTTAGAGTCTAATAGACCAGTAAACTTTACTAATTAATAGGGTGTCTGAACGATTTTTCAATTTTCAATTTGGGATCGTTTTTCACCATTTTTGTTTGATATTTGAATTAAAAATGTAATCAAAATAATACATTTCAAATTTCAAGTCTCGCCGATGTTTCTATCAAAAGATACAGCCCCTTCAAAACGCTGAAATATTCATAGCATTTTGCTCAGAATCGACGAAAAAGACGTACACGCAGAGTTATGTTGTTTTGCTAAATTTAGCCAAACAGCTGTATCGCGCGATATGCAAGCGTATGCATATCGTACGCAAGTTGCTCAGCCAATGCGCGACTTGCAAGCTTGAGCCACGCTGTCTCCGCGATATGTGCCATTGACTAGTATGGGTGGCCGTTCCCGCCATAGAACCCGGAAGTGAATACACGTTGTAGTCAATGGCAATATCGCGGAGACAACGTTGTCTCCGCGATATTGCCATTGACTACAACGTGTATTCACTTCCGGGTTCTATGGCGAGAATCGGCCACCCATACTTTCATTCACTATAAGCGCACATGTTACGATGTAACCATGGTTTGGACTGAGCGGAGCTCACGCCTCCCTAATTAGCTGATTCCAAAAATGTGGGAAGGGTATTTTCAAACTGTTATAACAAATGATCCCTTGGGGCTAGCGAAAAAAAAAGCATCTGGATATTATCCATACGTCTAGCCCTGCTTAAGCCGCGGGGGCGCAGCTCAGGAAAGTGGCAAATTTTGGAGCTAGGATGCAAACAACATTTCAATCGCTGTTTTGACCAAGATATTTTTAGAATTCTGGGAGTGGCCCCCTATGGGGAATATGGAGAAAAACCTGCTCTTTCATATGACACCTCATTTATTGAGTTTCACCTTCAGGATCATTTGTTATAAAGGTTTGAATTTCAAATTTTTTCATAAAATCATTGACCAATTTTGGATGGTCGCGCAATGCACGTAGACCACATAGGGAAGCATACAATCTCTATGGGAAGGGTTTTAGCACACAACATTGGGTGCGCGATCAGACACCCTACTAATAAATTGGATTGACCGGGTTTTGAATTTATCAGCTTGCAGTTTGTCAGTTTGTTAATTTTACAATCTTTCACTTTACATTTTTATTTTTCAATTAAAAAGACGTCTGGCTTTTCTTGTCAATTGAGGTCTAACTTTTAACAGTTTAAATCTACATGAAATTGTATTTGACGACGGCACTAATGGAGTAATGGCATGCCAAAATTTTACTGTTGTCAGTGTTGAGCTGTCTTACTTTTAGAAATTAACTTCCTACCTCTAGTCTACAATAACATTGATTGTATATTGATTTGATAAGAAAATCAACCAATTTTATTTTGAATTTAAAAAATATAAAGCTCACTAGATCAACTCAGATTTTAAGTGTTTTAATTCATGAATGATAAATGATCTGAATCATGATTTGTCTTTAAACAGAAAGGGAAGACTACAGTGGAGATATTGGAAGGGATCGATAAAGACATCGACGGGCTACTTCGATCTAAGCGACGTAATGTCGAACTGGAGAAGCACTATATGGGCAGCTTACTGCTCTACTCGGTCATTGGATACCTGATAATGGCACTCTTCTTCTATTTCCTCTACAATGCTACGACTTGGCTACAGAGAGTTGTTCAGATTTTACCACTTCTTCTCTTTCCCTTCTTGTAAGTACATAAATTAAACAGTGTATGTGATTGTGATGATGCCTAGGACAGTCTTGTCATATTCATTGATTGAACCTTAAAAAAAAAAATTTGAGAACATGGAATATCACATAAGATATTGGCAATCAAATAACTTTCTATTACAATTAATGATTATAATCTTATGCATTCTTTTTACTTTTCATGCAGAATTTGGCTGATACGGAAAGCGTTACATTGGTACTTTGTGAAGAGGATCGCTAAAAATGGTAAGCATAAACATGTGTTGAAAGAATCAATCATAGGCCCAAGCCGACTTGGGACTTTGTTGCAAATTAAATGCTGTACTAGTGTAGAAGAACACCAGAATTGATTGAAGCAGGATCAGATTTACTTAGATTAACTAGATTACCCAATTCAGGGATAGTACTCTGACATTAGTTTGGGGATTCCATGTTGAAAATAAGATTAAAAAATTATTTTCCTATCCTCATGTGTGATCTGCCCTATCCGAGTTCCAGGTAATACAAAAACTTATTAGGAAGTTTATTAGAAAGAACTAAGTGTGAATTCTAAAGCCCACCACACTACACAAACTGATTTTGGAATAATTTGCAATAGGACTGCAGTAGCATTAGAAATGGACATTAACACTTGTCAAATCTTAATGACCGAAGATCTGAATAGTCATGATTAAGAAAATCTAAATTTCAAGGGATATCATGCTTCTTTGGAAGAGGAAAAGCTATACCAGCTCAAAATCATAGTGACCTTAGGGCAGTAGTACCATTGTCTATGATTTGAAGCAGATTCATCTTTTATTTTGGCTAGAAAATTTCAGTGCACTAAAATCCTAATGTTGGTAATCTTATTATTTAGAAGCTAAATCAGGAAAATGATGTTTGTTTTGATTCCTCTTTCTCTAGATCTTGCCCTTGAAGAATTGAGGAACAAGAAAAAGACCGTTGTAAGTTGATGTTTTTTTCTTCGGAATCTCAAATTTGCAACTTCATTTGTGGAGTAAACAGCTCAGAAGTATTCATTTGAGTTGAATTTTGCAGAATCCCACGAAATTTACACTGAGACAATGTACATGTTGATTAAAGGAAATAAGCATTAAGGCTGCGACGAGTACTCGAATACTCGCACTAGGGCTGCGACGAGTAGTCTAATGCTCGAGTACCCGCACTGTTGACAACTGCTCGAGTACAATTTCTCGTACTCAAATATTCGACCGCAATTTTTTATTTTTTTATTTTTTAAAAATTATTTTAAAAAAAAAAATCAAACAAAATCACGGTCACCTGGCACAATCCAGGCCGACGCTTACCCGTGCCAGGGAGAGCGCCTGCCGCTGGCATGGTACCGTCAGTAAAAATGTTTCCGAGCTCAATCACTTTCAAACTCACCACTCAGAAACTGGGACCAAATGTCCGGATTTCTGTTTGGACTCGGAGGAAAATGGATTATTCTGCCATCTTTGGTTTTAAAACAGCATTGTTTACTGTTATTATTATTATTATTAAATCGGCGCCTTCAACTGCAATTCGAAGTAAAATCATGTGAGTTTTCGGAGACGGACCTGGGATACTGCTCCCGTAGTATGGTGGTGGCAACAAAACAAAAAAACAAAAACAAAAAACATTGCGTCCCAAGTATTTGAGTATTCGCCTGTAAGTCTGGGAGTGTACTCCAGTATCTCATTACACGGTTAATAAGCATAGAGTTCAACATGCATGTATATATGTGTGTGTCGATGTTTACACCGTTTGTGATACAGTAAATTTTCAAGAAATAGCCCATTTACTCCATCCATTATCAACATTCAGAGTCACATTTTGCCATTTTCTTTTGAAATAAAGTTCCATTCCTGACCTCGACTTAAATAGAAGGTTAAGTTCTGGGAAGAGGTGACAAATAATTTGTGAGCGTTATCATCTTATTATGCAAGTGTGGAAGAACATCAGAAAAAAATATTTCCCTGAAAAGCATGGCTCGTTAAATGCCTTAATACTCTCAATATGACACGTAACAGCATAAAACTTGGGGCAGATTTTTATGCCACATTTTTGTGTAGTCCCATATACATCTTTCTGTGTATAATTTCATATAACTTTACCAACACTGGGCCAAATTTTTATCATTTTGATGATTCCAGAACCTTGCAATACACACCACATGCTAGATAATCGACCTTTTTTGATCAATTCCACAACGTTTCTTTCACAATGCAATCGCATGACCAGAACTCAACTTTTTTTAAAAACTTCAACTGCATGCACATTGTTAATGTATATATTCTTGCAGCTAGAGGATGTGAAGGAAAACGAGAGTTATAAGAAAGCCAAAGAGATCCTTGAGAAGTTTGACCCCAGTGCGACCTTGCCACCTCTGACCCCCGTTCAGACACCAGCACTTGGGAGAGGACAAACACCAACACCAGGTACATCAGGGGGTGTTTCACAAAGATCCTCAGTTGAACTTATCTCTAAGTTGGACTTACCAATTATGGAAAGCCGTTAGCATCTTTGAAAATATTTCCTAAAAGTTATCTTAAAAGGCATAAAATGTTGATTTAAACCATTCATATTTTCTATTATCAAGGAGATTTCATGTTCTTGATGTGGAATTTATGAAAAGTCTAAAAAACTTTAATTTTTGCTTTTGAATATATTTTATTCTAAGGCTACAAATGGCTCTCCATAATATTTACGTGCAACTTAGACTTAATTTTGACTTAGGATCTTTGTGAAAACCCCCCCTGTATTCCATTTCATCCATCTTCCCCAACTTACTCCTGTCATATTACAAAGCATCTTGTGTATTGTGTATTTGTTTGCTGTTTTAATTTGTTGAAGAGACAATTATTTCAATCAAAGATCTGTGTTATCTTAGATGTGTAAAACTCATTAAATATGAAGTCAGCCCAGATTTGTGTGTGTGTGTGTATGTATTGGGTTTTTTCCAGACGTCAATATCTGAAAGACGTGACTCAGTTTTGAACCTACTTCCTCGTCTGAATCCTCGGCGTCCTGCCATCTGTTTTTATAGCTATCAAAAACACAAAATACAATTTTATCCTAAGGATAATTATCTTTCCATATTTTTAACTCATTGCCCATTTCAAACCAAATGCATGGAGCTGTTATGTGTACAAAAACCTGGAAATCGTAAGTAGAGCGAGGAAAACTGCAGTTACTTTTAGAGTAGCTTTTATCAGTGGCAACTTGTATGTCCCTAAGATAGGTAATAAACTCTTGTCTGAATGTATCAAAGCTCCTCACAGAAAGTTGCTGCTGTATAAAAACTTGTATTAAAAAACAAGAACTGAAGACCCATCTTTTTCCACAGAGCTAGTCGTTTTACATTGAAGCACTATGGTACTTCATAATGTATAGCGCAGTCTAAACGATGATTATTATTATTATTATTATTATTATCATTAATCCTCATGTGTGTACAGAGTACAGACAACATGTATATCATTATTATATATTGATTTTAGTTGTATATACAGCAGAAGGTAATACAATGCCAAACCATTGATCTAATCAATAGCAGACAGTCAACCTAATTTTCCTCATGATTTTATACTTTTCTTTTCTTTTCTTGTCTGATTCAAACAAATGGATTGTGAGTGAGTGGAATTAATTTTCCCTTAGCTATCATCAGTGTTGAGTAAATCTTTTTGTTTGTTGTTGTTGTTGTTCTAGCTCTGCGCCAGAGACCATTCAGTGCAAGGGGCAGGGGTCGCGGAAGAGGATCTCCAAGCATGACCCCCATGCGACCTTCAGCTCGTCTAGGGAACCAACCAATGCTACAATCACCTCAAGCTGCGATGATCAGTAAGTCCAGCAAGAAAGAGGGAGAGAGAGAGAAAGAGAAAGAGAAAGAAAGAGAAAGAGAAAGAGAAAGAGAAAGAGAAAGAGAGAAGAGAGAGAGAGAGAGACACAGACAGACAGAGACGGAGAGGGGGGAAAAGGGGGGGGGGGGGGCAGGGGGAGGTAGGGTTAAGTGTACATTTCAGATGCCATGTACAAGTTTAAATGAAAAGTAGTTTGTCTTGTTTATGACAGTTTAAGTTTGAATAGACAGCTGCCAATTCTTTTATTCTTTCTTTTTTTAAACAATTTTTTTTTAAATTAATTTTAAAAAAAGGGTTAACTTGGAGTACACATTGTATCATCTGGTGAACAATGAACACACTGGTTTGACCTTAAGACTACTGTAGTCTGATGGTATTTTTTTGTGGTAACAGACAGCAGCATTGTGGTCCGGTAACGTGTACTGTCTTAACTTTAACATGGAAGGCCCCCTTTTCTTTATTTTTGACGAGAGGGCACTGATGTCCAGGATGGGTACTGGGTAGGTCAAAACACATGAAACCAAGAAAATGCAATCATATACACTGAACAAAAAAACCCGTCTTGTTCTTGTTGAATTCAGGGTCTCCAGGTACAGTCAGACCAATCCTATCACAAGAACAGACTACCTTTGACAAGTTGGTCGGTTACTTGGTTGGGGACGGACCAGGGAGCAGGTATGCTCTCATCTGCAAACATTGCTATTCACACAATGGCATGGCTCTACAAGAGGAATATGAATATCTTGGTAAGTCCTACTGTTATTCTTATATGAGTTCATGTTGATTGTTGAAGGTGGAAGCCAGATGCAACTCTAAATCAAATTTACCAATAGCCTTTATATGTCATTTTTGTTGGTGTTGTTGTAGTTGGTGGAAAGAAAATGTTGATATATTTCTATTTTGAACAGGAACTACTTGTCTCAGCCAAAGGCCGTTTCTTCAAGTCTATTCATATTAAAAATGTGTAAATCATCTACACACATTTACACACACATAAATGATGAAATGATAGACCAAGGAATCAACACATGTAATCTATACAAATCAATGAATTCATCATTTTACATAAGAAATCTATTTAATGAAAGATCTTGTTTTCTTTACCATAATCTTTCAGGTCCAGTGCACCTTAGCTTCCTAAAACACCTTTCTGTGACAGTGTTTACCGGTAGTAATAATGTCTTTGATATAATTTTACACACAGCCTTTAGGTGTGCCTACTGCAAGACCTTCAACCCGTCTAAGAAAGTCCGACCTAATGCTCCCAAGCTTCCTGAGACACCTGCTGTTGCATTTGGAGCAAGACTTGGTAAGACATTGGTTTTTAGTCATATAGCAGAACATGGATAGTGTTCTCAATATGGCATTTCATATTTGTTATGTCCAATGCCACCCAGGTGATGTAAATAGGGACCGGTTGGAAGGAATTCCTTGAATGCTATGAGCACCGAAATTGGTAGCCTAGCAGAGCCGGGGTAATATTGGAGCGCTTTGAGCACCTTGCAGGGTGGATATGTGCACTATATGAATATCCAATATTATTATTATTATTATTATGCAATCATACATGTACCTTTTTTTCCCGGTACCTGTCATTGTTTCATTTCCCTATAATCCTAGTGTGTTGAGCTAGCACTGTATCCATATGTAGGCATGTCTGTATGTGCTTCTTATTTAACAAATATGTGCAATCATTGCGACATTGACAATAAGTTAAAAAATGAACCAATAATTTCTCACAAAAGTAATTCTTTATATTTATTCATGATCTCCAATTGTTTATTCTTCTTGAATTTCGTCCATCAAATCTTTAGGTTTCTAAGAAATCATTAAAGGATATGTATTTCTTATGAAACTTCATCTTTCTTTGACGACTGATTTTAACTATTAAAGTTGGGATGATCTCAATTTAGAATTGGGCATGATTTTAAATGTATTCCCCATCTCTTTGTGTCTTCAGTAGATCCCGAGAGAAGAGGTTCTGGCTCCAATGCCAGTGGAAGTGAATTCAGCGGGTCTGAGACGGAATCTACCTCCAGCCACCAGAACCAAACTGAAGAACCCACTACAACAATGGAACCATCAGCAGAGGTACAGAGCACAGAGGAAACTCCTGTAAAGGAGACTATCGAGAAAGAAGAGGAGACTATCGAGGATGAAGCGGGAGACCACATTGATGTTACCGAGAGTACAACAGAAACACCTGAAAGGAACGAAGCTCCAGAAGTAGAACAACTCAGATAACATTTTCTCTTTTCTACTTTATACAGTTAACGACTCAATTATTCATACCCTTACCAAGTTTTGTAATTTTTGAAGTATGTGAAAAATTTGTTGGTCCCAATTTGTTTCTTGGGAATGTGACCTATTAGAGCTTACATCTAAAAGTGTTCAACAAAGGGCCTCATTCAACCGGTCCACCTTTCATTCTTGAGATACTGAAAAGCACAAAATAACAGCAAATTTACAAGGGGTGTCAATAATTGAGTTGTTAACTGTTTATGTCTGTTCATTTGCTAGTTTATACCAACGTTACTTTCAGAATGCCTGTACATGCGCTCAGTGTACAGTATTATTTTCCTATTACCTTCAGCCTTTTCATTTTACAAGTCACACATTATAGAATTCAGACAATATTAATTCAAGGGGTGGGAATTAACAAGATACAATGAAACCTGTCTACAAAGACCAACCAAGGGAGACAAGAAAAGTGGTCTTTAAAGGCAGGTGGTCTTTAAGTACAGGTTCCTTTAGTACATGTTTCAATGAGAAACCATTTTCAAGGGGGAAAAAATGTGGTTTTTGTAGACGGGTGATCTTTCTATACAGGTGGTCACTAAAGCAGGTTTGACTTTACATGATGATATGTTAACATTTGCTATGATTACGTATAGGGAGACCTTAGATGGATTGTTGTATTGAATTCCTTAAATCTTTATAGGCAGGTGGTCTTTATGTATAGGTTCATTTAGTACATGTTTCAATGAGAAACCATTTTCAAGTGAAACAAAACAATGTGGTCTTTGTATACGAGTGGTTTTTCTCTGCAGGTGGTCACTAAAGCAGGTTTGACTGGATATGATGATATGTAAACATTTGCCATGATGTCATATAGGGAGACCTTAGATTAAATTGCAATTTTTTGTATTGAATTCCTTGCAATCCTTCTACACCTTTTGTAGTTTGGCAAATGATATATACCGGTGTATATAAAGCCATATATGAAAGAGCATTAATTCCATTTTATCTCCTTTGTGATATGTACCACAATTGGGTGTATCTGGGGGGTGTTTCACAAAACTTGTCATCAGTGACAAATGACAATTTTTGTTATAAGCTACTGAAATCCTTGCTTCTGATTGGTTATCAGTAGATTTGTCACTGATTTTTGTCATTTGTCAGTGAAAAAAGGCTTTGTGAAACAGGTCCCTGGATGTTCAATTAGTAGTCATGTGACAAATTGGAAGATATGTCACAAATATGGTATTGTTTATGAGACTGGTTTTGACACAGTTTAGTATTAACTAGCCGCTGTTCATGATGCTATGGTAGAGGTTTATTGTATTCTTCTCAAAGTCAAAGGAATCTCACGTGAATCCTACCCATTCACAGATGATGTTGGAAACTGGAGGTTAAATACCAGGCATTTTTTAATTTCTTGAATTTTTTTTTGAATGAAAAGCATTTGGGGATATAAAAAAACAGTAGCTGCGTAACAAAGATCATATTTATAGCGGTACTCAGTATCTGTGTGTTATAAGATATAGAAGTGTCAAGCATATATAGATGATATTTATATATAACACTGTGGTTTACTGCCTAGTATTAGTGAATGAGCTTAAAGGGAGGTAGTAGTCAGTTTCTGTGTCACAGTGTGCAGTAAGGTCATAAGTTGCTGACACCAGACTTGGTGGAAATGCCATTAATGGGTGTACAAGTCTGCAAAGAGCAAACCGTAGTTCCATCGAAACATACCCGAGTCTCTCAGAAAGTCTTCGGTTGAGGGAAATGTAAGTAAGATAATAACTTTTCCATATGGGGCGATTGGTCGAAAATGCAGAGCATAAGATAAGGCCCGTTGGTCATAAAACCGAATGCTAATCCTAATGTTATTGGGTTTACATCCAAGTGGTGTCAAATTCCCCATAAGAGCCTACTACTATGTATCTTTCAAAGGGTTGATTACTTAATGTTGATACGTTAGCTATCATTTGTGTCAACCTAACAACTCATTTCTACTTTGAGAAGGCCAAATATTTCTAACAATCGACTTCAAAATTTCTGATGAAGGACATGTACAGAAACTTTTTTTTAAGGTAGGGGGGGGGGGGGAGAAAAGGTTTACCAACATTTTTTATGACCAACTACAAGTGTGCTTCATATATTCCAAACAAACATTATTATAATACACTGTATTACATTGGGAACATATTTCTGATTTGCTTCTTGATTGTTTCTTGAAATTTCAGTGTAATAGGAGTGCCTTTTGCCATGTTATATGTTTTGGTAAGAAATATCATTAAGTCAAGTCTGATTTTCAAGATTTTCGTATATGTAGATGGATATTTTTATTTCATTTTGGGGGGTTCAAATTCTGTTCAGATCGTTAAAACCTCTTGTGAGAGTGTATTTTTATCTTGTGTACTATTCAAAGGCATGAAGAAAAATGTCAATTTGAATATCAAAATTCATATAGTATTATAGTACAGTATGATTTTTACAAGTATTGCCTAATCCTTTTCTTTTCTCCTCCCTCTTTATTTTTTTTCATTTCTGAAGTAGTTAATTTAATCACTAGCATGAAAATAATTCACACCTATGTAAATGAATTACAACACACCGAAAGGCCATTGTTATTCATCTTTTTTTAAATGCATTACTTTCATTGTCAGACTATAATATTGCGCAGATGTCAAATACACTTGCCTGAATACATTATGTATGTGCTTGGAAATTGGAAAGTTTTTGTGTGCTTTGTAGAATTGCCTTATCAAGGAAATAATGCATTACGAATGCCCCTCTTCTGACACACAAAACTTTGTTACTTGTAATTTTAGTTTGCCTGCCTAGTTACAAGTGAATAAATGAGACATGTACATTTACTGTCATAGCTGAGCGGTCAGTGGTTAGATCTTTTGACCGAAGATGCAAACATCATGGGTACGAGTGCATATCCTTTGGCATGATATACAGTTAAATCTGGTACTCCGTGACTGGCTTTGCTAAATGGTAGGAAACTTCCTACTGAATGTGGTACATGCATGTTTGGATGAATCTGATGAATTGGTAATAATACATTTTTCAAGCGCTCAAAGACGGCGATGTTAAGCGCTGTAAAAATCCAGGTTATTATTATTAACATCATTATTGTTCTCAGTAAGATTTAAACACCAAAAATGTACTCCATTATTTTTATTTTGTGACAGTGCTTCATTTGAACTTTATTATCATATGTCTTTGTGACAGTTGTCATTAATGCCAAAATGTCTTAATGCAGATTAAGCAACCATACATGCAGTTCACAGTACTTTCGTAGGAAGTACGGTAGATTGATGAAATTCAAAGAACTTCAAGTAAATATTTTGTAAATGTTTTTTTTCCTTGACCTTTTCAGTATTTTTTTCATAAATACATTTGTTCCATTTTAATTTTTTTGATAAATAAAGCAGTTATTTTAACTTATCTTAAACAGGAGAGAGTGTCAATAAAATACTTATTTTAGGGTTTGATGAAAAGCTCTGAATAAGCTTACGGATTGGTACTATTGGATTGAGGACTTCAAAAAAAGAAAAAAGATGATCTAATCATGGCTATTTCCCAAAAAATTATCTGTGTCATCGCTGAATTTGCCACCAAGAATTGCCATACGTTCTTGCAATTAGATTTAAGGGGCAGTAAATCCATGATAAATAATGTCTTCTTTCCATTGCAATATGTATTTATGTAACTGATGTTTCCTGTTTGTTTATTTAGTTTGACCAAATCAATTGTCGATGTTCTTTTGCCAAACTGTGCTGAAAATATGAAATTGCAACTGAAAATTTTTCCCAGGATTCCGTAATGAAGAAAAACATTTTATGTTTAGACAGCTTTAATTCATCACGAACTATAAAATGAAACGTCATTAAACAATCCTATTTGGTAATGTGTTTCCCAATGCTAACCTCCATACCAAAAATAACAAATGAACATTCACAGTGACTTCAAAAGTTTGCTCAGTGTTCAACAGTTTTCAAGACATCCCACATTTTCAGAACAAAATACATGTTTTGTGTCTCTTTTGATAGATGTTGAAATGGGGTGTTTGTAAATTGAACTGTAATGCATTGATGCTGAATGCGCCTGTATATAAACATGTTGAAATGTACAAAGGAAAACAATTGTTTATGAGGTGTACCAGTATGTAACTATTAAATCAAATTATTGAAAGTTTATAATGTAGTCATTCATGATTCAAATGTTGAATAGCTTTTTCATCTGAAGGGTAAATGTTTTTTGTGCATTTTTGTCTCGTCATGTAAAGAAAGTGTTTTTATGAGGTTTCTTTTGCTCATTAAAATAATAGATTAAGAATATGATGAATTGTCTCATTTGTTTCAATAATATATTTCCTCCAGTCTTAAAGATTTAAGAACTCAGATTGTCTCTTTCAAGGTAATACAAAATTTTGGGAAATTGTGAAAATAGGCTGGATAGTGATTCTTTACTATGTTGATATGTTTGGATGCTCCTGTGGATGTATTATAAGCACTAGAAAATTAAGCCCCTAGAGCACTTCTGCTTAGTAAAATTGAATAACACTGGTAAATTTTGATAAATTTCAAACAGCGCTTACGGCCATACAATTATAACTGCGACCATGAAAATCTCAGAATATGTAGTTGGGATATATAAATTTCCAGACGGAAATAACCAATCGGTCGATGTTACTCAAGAAATATTGTTTTATGGCTTAATTAATATCTCGAACTTGAGAGGGAGCTATACAACATAAAGAGTTTATTATTTACAATTTCATGACTTTAGACTCAATTTCAAATGCGACAACGCGATCCCTGAATATTGTAGGATGGCATATACGCTTCAGATATGTTCATTGGAACCAAATTCATGACCCCATACCAAAACTTTGTATTACCTTTAATACATGCTGATGTATTTTTTAGTATCAGTAGTATAGTATAGAAATGCTTTCATCATCTTGATATAGTATTTGAATGAAAAACTTTCTCCAATGTATTTATAACTGTTAACATAAAACTCTCCATACAAACAGATTTCTTACCTAAAATTGTATTAAGTCATATGAAATAACATGAACAAATAAAAAATAATAATTAAAAAACATATTTTGAGAGAAGAATGGAATTCGGATTTGGTTGACAGTAAATCTCCCGGCCTGGAGAATAATATTATGTGCGACTTTACTTACTTACACCATTAAACTCTAGATCTGTATGTGCAGTTGATTAGATGAATATAAGATATGTAATCATATACCTGTAATCTTATATCAACAGTCATATAGTTATTATACTTTAAAAAAAAGAAGAAAAGCATATATGCCTTTGTTTAGATGATTGGAAATGGCTATAACCTGTCAACTCGCACAATTAAGCAAGAAACATGAAAAAGAGACAATCAATGGGGCACAGGGAGAGGGCCAGTTGAGGGGGGAGGAAGAGGGAAATTAAAGAGAGAAAGAGAAAGAAAGGAGGGGAGGAGAAGAGAGAGGGGGTTATTAAAATTAAAGAGGTGGGTGGGGCAGTGGGGAGTAGTAAAGGGGCGTGGCGCACGTACCCGTTGCTGGTATAGGAATCCCATGGCAATCGATAATCTTGATCATAACTGTAACCCAAAATGTACCCCGAACCCTAGCCCAAATCCTAAAGCACATATGCACTAGACCTACTAACATTAGGTATTGATCAACATTGATTCATTATTAATAGCATCATTGAGTTACTAGTCCGTCGACTTTCACTTGCTATCCTACGATTAAAAATGGGCTGGGTCTCGACTGTCGACAGGGATGGATTGATTACGCAACCGTTTAACGTGTTTACTTACGGTATGTGAGAGTTGATAGGATCGGAGGCGTTCCCAACTTCCCACAGTAAAACAGACCTTATTAAGCATGATTTCCTCAAATAGAACAGACGAGTTTCCTCAGCTAAAGAGTAAGTAATAGCTGCCTTGATAATTCTTTTATTATATCGTGGAATGTACCGAAATTTAACATGTTTTTGTGATCCTCTTGAGAGGCTAGTCCCATTCGTTGAAACTCATGTGGTGAAAATTTTTCCCATATCATACTTTTTGGAAATCGGTAAGTTCTATGGCAGAGTGTCATGTTTGAACTTGAAGGGCAGTAACATAGACTAGTACGTTTCAGTATTTCTTTGGAATATCAGTATCATACATGTATGTCCATTACTAAGAATGTTATTTTCTCTTTATGCAAACATTAGAAGATGAAATTGATAAAATAAATAGAAAAATAGACCTAAGCCTGAAACTCAATGTCAAATGTCAATTTTTAGTCTCTAGACAAATTCAGAATTCGAATTTGATCTAGAATAATGAAAGAATTCGTTTCATATGTGTTATATATTATGTTTAATTAATTTCATTTTTAAAACCAACATGAACTAAATCTAAGTTACTTTCCATTAAACCCAATCAGTGTTTAATAACGTAAAACAAACTTGTGATAGGTCTACTGATAGATTGATCTAATTTTCTTGTGATAAAATTGATCTTTTTCTATGATCATTATTTGATATGAGTAATAACAAGTATTTATTTATAACTGTTGTGTAATAGATACAAATTTGCCTTGTTGTACACTTATGGGTGGTTACAGCCTACAGGCACAAAGAATAGGAGGAAGATTTCCTGATATCTTTTCCACTATAAACTGAGAGTGAGACAGTGGAAATATGCACTCCAGCAAAGCATAGAGAGTCAATGCTAATATGTATTGACCTTTAGCGCTGTACTACATGCTGAGAGGCAGCAATTACACACAATACAAACACTGCACGCAATTGCACACTAATGCACACAATTATGAATACGATATAGCCGATTGGCAAGTTTGACACTAGACTCACGATTTGAATTTTCAAAATATTCTTTCTAACATCGGTAAGTTGAAAAGATTAAAGTATTTTAATGCTATTTAGGTGTCATCAATTGTCACTAAAGTACCGATTTTGATCGAACTCAGTTGAGTTTCAGTGAACAGTGGTGTTTGAAATGTTGAGAATCAATAGAACAGTTTTTAATACACAGCTGGTAATGCAGTAGACAGAAATAACCATCTGATTTGGGTCATTTCTTTAATAAAACTGACATTTGTTGTCATTCCCCAATACAGATGGTAACCCAGAGATCTCGTACCGTGGGGGTGCCTATGAGCATCTTTTCGTTCACGACATTTTCTTCCCGATTTTCTTTATTTAGATCTAATTTTCTGATTTCTAAATCAGATGTAAATTAGGTCGGTCTATATATCTCCTAATTACAGTTTTCAAAATTTACTAACCTATCATAGAATGTGAAATTTTCAGACTTACTTATATGAATTATCCAATTTGTATCTTTGAACTGTGAAACGGTACGTTCATGCACGTTCATGCACTCGAACATAGAGCTATATGACCCGGCGGCCGATATATATTTCCGGGTCAATTCCTACCAAAACATAGCCAATGGCCAATCAGAGCACTCGTTTCGTGTGAGTTTGTTGGTCAAGCCGGGCTGACTCGTACGTAGCTACGGTAGCTATTGGACGTTCGAAAAGAAAAAATGAATATTCATCAACTAAAACCAAGACGGATAATGTTGACGACGAGACTTTCTCGGATTAATCATTAATTTAGGATCTAAATGAGGAAGCTATCGTAAGTCAAATAAGCTATATATATGTTATTTTTAATTTTTATTATAATTGCAGCAGTTATGAGGATGTAAAGAGTGAAAATCTTGTTGCATATCTCATTCATCGCGGTCCGGTCGAACCGAACCATTTGTTCTGTACAGTCCTGTACAGTCCCGATGGGACATACTTCAGTCTCTATAATCGGAGGTCTAGTGGAGCCAGACGTAGTCTCAGTGGAACAACCGACGATTAGAGAGACTGAAGCTTTCGGTCTAGTAATGCAGCTACATGTATACATGTGTGGAAATAAGAGCATTGTATTGCAAACTAAAATCAATTTTAAATAGTCCCTTATTTCATCCTCTCTCGTTATGCCCCATAGATACAGTGTATCTAGATCACACAGGAGCAACACTTCCATGTTCCAGTCAACTAGATGGCTTCAGCAGAGACATGAGAGAGAATCTGTATGGTAACCCACACAGTCGCTCGTCCAGCAGCAGTCTGTGTACTGAAACCATCGACCAAACCAGGTTCAGGTAATTTGCATAAAGAGAGGTGAAAGGTCACCTTCTAAAGTTGAATGTATATCAAAACAGCTAGCTTGTTTTACTGAAAATTTACAATTTGAATGTCTGCCATGTTTGAAAATTTGAACTAAATTTTGAAAATTGTCTATATTTTCTTGATATTGGAATCCCCCCTGAGCTTTCTAGAAGCAGACTTTTTTGTAACAGTTTACAGTTGTAGGTCAACACTTATATAATTGATTTAAAAAAATCTTTTAGATTTTAATTTTACCATATTCAAAGAATTATTGGAAATGCTATTGGTATAAGGTATTCTTGAAGTTTTTGTGTGTTGGTTATACATGATCAAGCATGTCATTGTTTCTGTTATGTCATGAATGAAGGTAGGGAGTTGATTCATAATTTTTGTTATTTAATTGAATTCATATCTTTACTGCTTCAGACTATTTTTCATAATCTTTGCAGGATATTGAAGCACTTCAACACCACACCGGAGAAACACACTGTTATATTTACATCGGGATGCACCGGGGCCCTGAAGCTACTTGCCGAATCATTCGACTGGTCTGGCTTGAAATCATGCCACCGGACGATAGAATCATCATCAACTGACAGCCATGACGGGAACGAGGTTGGCACAAAGAAGAGAGGGATGTTCTGCTATCTGCAGGATAACCATACATCTGTGGTTGGGATGAGAGAGCTTGCTCATGATAAAGGTGCTGATTGCCTCTGTTTGTCTAAAGATACCATGGAAAAACTATGCACCGTTAATGTGTCTAGTGTTGATAAGATTAGCTCTCACAATGAGATCAACGGGACAGTAGATGATTCGGAATGCAACTTGCTTCCTAATGGGCTGTTTGCTTACCCAGCACAGAGTAATTTCTGTGGACACAAGTACCCTCTGCGATGGGTGAAGAAGGTTCAAGATGGCATCCTCCATCACCAAACCGGTTGTCGTGGTAACTGGTACGTGGTATTGGATGCTGCAGCCCTAGTCAGTACATCTCCTCTAGACCTCGGCACATGCGATGCAGACTTTGTGACAATCTCCTTCTACAAGATGTTTGGATTTCCGACCGGTCTCGGAGCCTTGATCGTACGCAATGATTCCGCTGGAGTGTTAGTGAAGGAGTATTTTGGGGGTGGTTCTGTGATGGCATATTTAGCCAAGGAGAGGTTCAGTAAATCAAGAACAGAATTGGCAGAGAGGTAGGTTTTCTTGGAATCAATTTCGGGATAGAAGCAAAAATTAACCTCAGATAAATAACTCCACGATAACTGTAGGAATGACAGATTGCATCTAGGGCAATTTTTTATTCTTCAGAGAATAGCTAATGCAACTTATATGTATGGCATCTATGGTATAGTTTACTGCACACAGGTCATTGTCTTAACAGGGCTCCAGGGTAACAGTGTTCTAGATTTACAAGGAAATTATCAAAGAAAGTGTTCACAACATTCCATTATATACATTTATATGACCAGGAGATCTATTGGAAAGATTCTTGCAATGAATTTGACACTATCACAATTATTCTTCTTTCAGGCTTGAAGATGGCACTTTACCCTTTCTAGATATAGTCAGCCTGCGCCATGGGTTTGATGCTTTAGAGAAACTAGGAGGTAAGCTTCTTTGTTGGTGTATTTTCATGTTTTAAGGAGCAAATTTTATGTTCCATGAAGTTAGATTAATCTCATCAAATGCAGTTAGAGGTTTGTATCCATAGAGGTTTATACATGTATGTAAACGGTGTTATAGAAACGGCAACTACCATTTTTTATCATTCTCCACTTGAACCAACTTGAATCTTATATTCCTTCACTGAAATCACCTAAGAACTTTCCTTTATTAGATTTTGCAACAGGATGTGAATTTGAAATATTGCATATTTGCTAACATTTCCCATCCCTTTACTACATGCACTCATGCTTTGTATTTTGTCTATAATTGCAGGTGGTATGAAGTCGATTTCAGAACATACATTCCTCCTAGCCAAGTATGTTTGCAATCAGCTATCTAGTTGGAAGCATTACAGTGGACAACCAGTTTGTGAGATGTACAACCGTAGTGGGTTTGACAGTGTCGATCATCAAGGTCCTATTGTCAACTTCAACTTGCTTCGGTCCAATGGAGAGCATGCTGGATATGCAGAGGTGATTTAAATAATATCCTTCAAATTTAGATTTTATGGCATCTTTTTGGTGTAAAATATCACTTGAAACTCTGATTGATTTCATAGAAGTAACAGAGTGAGCACAAGTTGT